GTCCCGGGCACACTGCTCCGGCCCCCCTCTCACCAGATCATGACCAACAACCCAGACATCGAGAACGGCGACTACGTGGTCATCTGGAGCGACCTCACCGACGCCCAGGCCAGGTTGTTTGCAGGAGCGCAAAGCACCGATCCCCTGTTCCCGCAGCCCCTGGACGGGGCGGTCTTCGGCCCGATCCTCGACGCCCAGTTCCGCGCGGAGGGCGTGCACCGCTTCCTGGTCGTCCAAATTGGCGACGAGTGGCTCGAGATCTGGAGTGCCGGGACCAAGACGCTGCGCGCCGACATCCTTCGCGGCAGTGCGGCGGGCCGCGCTGCCGACTTCCTCGAGAAGGCCCCCGACCCAGCGTAGGCGCCGCCGGCGGCAGCGGCCCCAGCACAGCTTTAATTAGGGAGACAGGGCACAGGAAGGCGGGGCCCCAGGCGGCCGGAGTGGAAACAACTTTTTATATACGCCGACAGGGTCGGCGGAGTTAGGCTTGGGTGCACGAGCGCTGAATCCTTACTTCGTTGTAACCCCCGCCGCCTTGGGGCTCTGTGATCCGCGCCCGACCCCCCCGAAACCATGCTCCACCCTAGTCCGCGTCCGTGGTCCCCGTGTTTCGTCCTGTGACCCTGTGGTCTGTGAGCGGTCGCTCGATTCTCAGTCTCCTCTGGCACACACCGCGTTGCGAGGGACATGGGTGCGTCAGCCCTCCTTAGCATTTCGGACACACTTTGTGCAAGGCCAGAGCCTGCCATCCGTGTCGCGCGCTGTTCCTCCGTCTCCCTCAAGACGGCCACGATGTGACCGAGGGGCGGCTGGCGAACCTTGAAATAATCGGGAGGGAGGAAGGACGACGGGCGACGGCGAGGGATCATAGAAAGAAACCTCCGGCAGGGCGCCAGAGCTGCTCTTCCTCTCTCCTCTCCTTCGCCCTGTCGCCCCTCTTGCCACCACACCTCTGCTGCGCCTCCCGGCCCTCCGTGGCCCCGTGCTCCTTCTCGTCCGCCCTCCCGTCCTCATCCGCGTCCTCGTCCTCGTCCTCCGCCTTGCGCTCCTTCTCCTCGCCCTCCTCGTTCCCGCGTCCGCGTCCTCGTCCTCGTCCTCGTCGTCGTCGTCGTCCTCCTTTCTGCTCGTCTTCCCTCCTCTTTCTGGTCCTCCCTCCTCCTGCGTCTCGTCCTTTCTGATACCGGCTCCTCCTCCTTCTCTCCTTATCTTCCTCTTTCTTGTTTCGGTAACGCTTTGCCTCCACCTCCTTCTCCCATCTCCTCCTCCACCCTTCAGGCTTCCCGTTGCTCCTCGTCTTCCCCTTTCGTCTGCTTTTCTTGCACGCTGTCTGGGTCACCCTGAAGAGTTTGACACTCGAGCGCGCGCGTTGCGAGGCCGTCATAAGCGCTCCGGAAAGCTGTTTGCACTTGGGTGAAAGGCCAATGCTCGTAGCCATCGGCTTTGCACGTGTGGCACGAGCCCCCTGCTGAGGCAGTACGCCCATACCGTGTTTTATGTCCTCGCTAGTACAGTTTTGGTTTTCCAAACGATCCTGCGGCGTTGGGTCCTCGTTTTGAATCAGCAGCGTCCCGTGCTCCCTCCGCATCGTCATCGGCACCATCATCCTCAATCTTCATGGGCGTTACCACCATAATCATCAGCATCAGCATCAGCATCATTATCATCATCATCACCACCATCATCACTATCATCATCATGAGCAACATCACCATGTCATCATCATCATCACTACCATCACCACCATCATCATCGTCATCATCATCACCACCATCATCATCATCGTCGTCGTCATCATTATCATCATCGCCATCATCAACAGCTGCACCATCTTTGATACATTCATCTGCAGCATCAAGATTATCCACACCATCTTAATCATGATCATCACCACTCACCATCATCATCATCACCATCAGCATCATCATCAACACCGTCATCATCCTCATCAGCATCATCACCACCACCATCATCGTCAACACCATCCTCACCATCGTACGCAACAGCATCACCACCACCACCATCATCATCATCCTCATCATTATCATCATCATCAGCATCATCATCATCATCAGCTTCAGCATCATCATCATCATCATCATCATCATCATCATCATCATCATCATCATCATCATCATAATCATCATCGCCATCACCATTACCATCACCATCACCATCACCATCACCATCAACATCATCTTTTTCATTCTCATCATCACTACCACCCAAACCATCATGCCCATAATCAACACCAGCATCAGCATCAGCATCAGCATCAGCATCAGCATCATCATCATCATCGTCATCGTCATCGTCATCGTCATCGTCATCGTCATCGTCATCGTCATCGTCATCGTCATCGTCATCGTCATCGTCATCAGCACCAGCATCAGCATCAGCATCAGCATCGCCATCAGCATCCGCATTATCATCAACGTCAGCATCAGCACCAGCACCAAGATCAGCACCAGCACCAGCATCAGCATCAGCATCAGCATCATCCTTCCCGTATCACCACCAGCAACGTCGCCACCATTAGTCACGCCCCTCAGACGTTTCGTGGACGCATCGTGAGCCCCACCGACGTTCCTAGTAGGAAGGTCCGCATGGTGCCACCGCACCCGTATCGTCAAACCCCCCACACGTTTCGTGTCTCTTTAGTGAGCTCCACCGAAGGCTCGAGTGGGAGAGTCCGCACGGCGTCACCGCACAAATTTGGGCACACCTTTCGCACGTTCCGTGGCCCCATGAAGAGCTCCACCGAAGGCCCATGCCCGAGGGTCCGCTTGGCGCCACCGCTTCCGTTTCGGCACACCTTTCACACGTTTCGTGGCCCCATGGGGAGCTCCACCGAAGGCCCCAGTGGTAGTGCCCGCATGGCGCCACCGCACATCTTTCGGCACATCCCTCACACGTTTCGTGACCTCATAGTGAGCTCCACTGAAGTTGTCGTTGGGAGGGTCCGCATGGCGCCACCGCACCCGTTTCGGCAAACCCCCCACTCTACCGTACGTTTAGGGGCCCCATGTGGAGCTCCACCGAAGGCCCCACTGGGAGGGTCCACAGGGGGCCACCGCGCATATTTCGGCACACCCCTCACACGTTTCGTGGCCCCGTAGGGAGCTCCGCCGCGTCCACACGGCGCCACCGCACACATGTTGGCACACATCTCACACGTTTCGTGACTCTATGAGAGTGTCTACATGGAACCACCGCGCCCACTTTGCCGAACCCTCGCACGTTTCCTGGCCCTATAGTGAGCTCCACCGAAGGCTCCAGTGGGAGGGTCCGCATGGCGCCACCGCATCCGTAGCGGCACACCTTTCACACGTTTCGTGGCCCCACAGGGAGCTGCACCGAAGGCCCCAGTGGGAGGGTCCGCATGGTGCCGCCGCGCCCATTTCGACACACCACTCGCATGTTTCGTGGCCCCATGCTGAGCTCCGCTGAAGGCTCCAGTGGGAGGGTCCGCACGGCGCAACCGCACCCATTTCGGCTCTCCCCTCACACGTTCCGTGGCCATATAGTGGGCTGCACCGAATGTCCACTAGGAGGGTCCGCATGGCGCCACTGCGCCCGTTTCGGCACACCCCTCACACGTTTCGTGGCCACATGGGGAGCTCCAGCGAAGGCCCCAGTGGCAGCGCCCGCATGCGCCCTCGCCACTTTTGGCAAACCCCTTCTCGCTCTTCGTGGCCCTATAGGAAGCCCTACCGAAGGCCCCAGTGGCTGCGCCCGTACGCGTCCCCTCGCCCATTTTGGCACACGTCTCGCGCGCTTCGTGACCCCATAGTAAAGTCTACCGAAGGCCCCAGTGACAGCGCGCGCATATGCCCCCCCTGACCGTTTTGGCACACACACACACACACGCACACACGCACACACACAAACATCTCACTTTTCGTGGCCCCATTTCCCCTCCTTTGTCCCACTTGCCTTGCGGTACTAACCTGTGCACATGGTTGGGATTTTCGCCAGGACATCTCTTTTAGGCTGGGGAGCGCTCGCTGATCCAGTCTCGCTTTCCATCGCCTGGTTCCACCTCCTCCCCTCTTCCTCCTTCTCCTCCTCCTCCTCCTCCTCCTTGTTCTCCCTTTTGGGTCTTTGAAGGGGCCCTCTGGGGGAGTCTTCGGGAATTCTTGGGGGCCCTCTTGGGGCCACCGTGGAGGCCTCCTGGGAGCCACCTCGGAGTGCTCCGTCGGGCGCCGCCGCCGTGGCGCGGTCTGTGGCCGTGCGGCCCTGGGCGGTTGGGCCGTCGTCGTCGCCGTCGTCGTCGCTTGGATGTGTATGGCCAGGATTTTTGCCCAGCGTGTCGCTCCGCCGGCTTTGGCCCACCACCCCTCGGCGCGACACGCTATCCAACTTCTGCTCCCCCCAGCGTCAGCGTTCCGAGCCTTTTTTGGTACTTCCCGCCCCACGGAGCGGAGCTACGCGCTGTCCGCCCGCAGGGCACAGCGTGTCGCCAGGGCCGCCGCCGCGGCACGCCGAGCAGAGGTTCCCCGACCGCAGGCGAAGGGTGTCGAGATTCCTGGAAGCACTACCTTGAGACGAGTGTGTTGGCCGTGCCTGTCTGCTCTCGGCCGAGCTCTCGGCCGGCCTCGGTGGGAGGACCCGTGGGTCCGTCCGCCTTGGCACCAACGGGGAAAGCGTGGAGACGCTGAGGGAAGCTGCGGTGTCGTACAGTGGGGGCGTTCGTTAAGGATTGTGCCCAGGGGGCTTCAGACCCTGGAGTATTCCTTATCTGATGGGGGCGGCGGTGACGGCCATGGCCAAGCTCCCATCGGAGTTTCACAGGCCTCCAGACCCTGGACTCCTTATCCGATGATTCCTTATAGCGGGGGCCCGTGCCAAGAAGCACCCTGCTTGCCCTGAATTTCTTGGGTTTCGATGGTTTTGCCATGGAAGGTGTGACGTTCCCACACCAAAAATCAGTGGACGTCCTGGGGTATCAGGGTTGGGTTTCTTGTGGAAGCTTTCTTGTGGACTGGCCTCCATTGTATACAATGCCCTCACCCTATTGCTCCTACCGCATGGCCCGCGCGGCCGCCCTAAAAGGCAAAGATCGTTCCCTCACGGCCGCTGCAGTTGATACCCGCCGTGCCGCGCGGGGTGCCAGTTTAGGTCCGAGCTCGTTCTGCCGCTGCGACAGCCGCGGTCACCAGAGACCTCTTCTGAGACGCTGGGTCTCCTCTTCTTCCTCCCCCTCCTGCTCCTCCTCCTCCTCCTCCTCGTCCTCCTCCTCCTCTTCCTCCTCCTCCTCCTCCTCCTCCTCCTCCTCCTCCTCCTCTCCTGGGGCATCGTATTTTCTTGGCGTCCCGTTGAGTGCCTCTGCTGAGGTGTCATTTCTACAAGCAAGCGCCCTCGTTTCCAATGAGGCCTGCCGCACTGGCGGCCCGCGCAAGCCGCGGTGTAAGGTCGCTGTGCCATCTTACGTAAGGCAAGGCCTGCTTGTTTCCGTCGCCCGAGCTGCATCCTGGTCCACACCTTGTGGGCGGTGTGTTCGGGGGCCTCAGTCCTACGGCGGGCGAGTCTGGAGTCCTTTCCGTCCTCCGCAGGTGGACGGCGAATGGCAGTGCGACACCAGCGTAGGCTACGGTGGCACTGCCAAGTGGACGTGCACCGTCGACGAGGCCGCCGGCTGTGAGGTGGTCTCTCTGCTCGAGGGCTGCGAGAAGCTTCCCTTGCGCTCCTGCACTGCTCCAGAGGTAGACGGCTGCGCCCTGGACACTTCCCAGTGCACGGATGTAGCGCCAGGGGCGACGTGTAGGCTGGCCTGCCGCTGGCCGTACTTGGGGCTCCCGACATTTGCCACGTGCCCGTCTGACAATTGGGAGGCAGGAAAGGTGGTGGAGCTCGACACAAGGCTGCCCTACTGCTTCTGCCCCGACCCCGTGGCCTCGCCAGGCTACGTCCAGGCCGCCTCGGGCTGGGCATGCGACGAGGGCTACGTGGGAGAGGCTGTCAAGCAGTGCGTAGAGAGCGAGACTTGCAGCGTGGAAATACGGCTGTCGGGCTGCGTGGAAGAGCGCCCCTGCTTGGCGCCAGAGGTCGAGGACTCGGGGGAAGGGGGTGGACGCTGTCTTAGACGTGCGCACTGGAGGATGAGGATGAGGATGAGGATGAGGATGAGGATGAGGATGAGGATGAGGATGAGGAAGAGGAGGAGGAGGAGGAGGAGGAGGAGGAGGAGGAGAGGAGGAGGAGGAGGAGGAGAGGAGGAGGAGGAGGAGGAGGAGGAGGAGGAGGAGGAGAGGAGGAGGCGGAGGAGGGGGAGGGGGAGTAGGGAGGAGGGAGGAGAGGAGGAGGAGGAGGACAATGGCGAGCTTGGGGGCCTCTTGGGCCGTCTCTGGGGCCTCTTGGCGGTCCTGGGGGCCTCTTGCGTATCTCGGGGAGCCTCTTGGGGCCTCTTGGGGGTCTCTTGGGAGCCTCTTAGAGGCCTCTTTGGCGCCTCTTGGGGCCTCTTGGGGCCCTCTTGGGGCGCTCTTGGGGCGTTCTTGCGAGCCTTCGGGGCGCTCTTGGGGCCATGTTGGAGGAGATCTACCAAAGAAGGGGGGGTTGTATGTTAGCATTGCCCCTGTAGAGTGCCTCGAATCGCTTCTTGGGCCCCACAAGAGGCCAACATCCTTCCAAAACCTAGGGAAATCAATGTTTTTTAGCTTTCTCGCCTTTTCGCTCTTGGAGCCTTCTTGGGCCATCCTGGACGCTCCAACGACCCGCGGAACCCCACGTCCAGGTCCAGGGGAGGGGGTAGGGGGAGGGGTGAACCCCTCCCCGAACGGGAAGAAGGGGGTTGGAAGAGGAAACTCTCTAGACCACCGACGCCCAGAGGGTTGGTGGGATTCCTCGGAAGAGGTGTTTATGAGACCTCATTGGGCGGGAGATCTGGGAATGGGAATAACGGACCCCGCCATAGAACAAGAGTCCCGCATTACGTGGATCGTTATCATGATGGTCGTATGTTTCGTGTGGAAGCATCGCGCATGAGGGTAAACTGATTGTAGTTGTTGTTGTTGCTTCTGTTGTTGTTGTTGTTGCTGTTGTTGAACTCTCATATCCGAAGAATAACTCTTGTTGATCCCACCACCGGTGCATATTGTTTTTTCTCCATCAAAGTGTGCCCCTCGACGCTCGCATCCTGTTTTTCAAACTGGGCCCCTGGCCCCCAGGATAACAACAACAACGGCTCCCGCTTGAGACTTCCTCGCAATTTAGCCGGGGCTCCCGCTCCCGCCCGAGACTTCCTCGCATTTTATTCATGAATCGCGCTCTCGCTTGTGACTTCCTGACAATTTATTGAGGAATCGCTCTCCCGGCGCTCTGGAGTCGCGCTCTCGCTGGAGACTTGCTTGAAATTTACTGAAGGATAGCGCCCTTGCGTTGGAATTTCTTGCAATTTGCGCAAGCGCTGCGCTCCCGACACCCAGGCACCCAGGAGTCGCGCCCGTTGTGGCCCCATTCCGCTGTCGCCGTTTGTGGCCCCCTCACTGTTCTACGTGGCCCAGTTGCTACCCTCAGTGGCCCCATCGTTGCCTTCTGTGGCCCCGCATTATCTGCCCTTCGTGGGCCCCGCTCGTTCGCGCTCTTCGTGGCCCCATACGCATTCCCTTCGTGTCCCCGCTGTTGCCCTTCGTGGCCTGCTTCGTGCCCTTCGTGGGCCTGCTGTCGTTCTCTCTCGCTCTCGCTTTCGCTCGTCGTCGCCGTCGTCGTCGTCGCCGTCGTCGTCGACGTCGTCGTCGTCGTCGTGGTCGGTCCCCTGTCGGTCCCTCTTGGGGTCGGGTCGACGGTCCGCGGCCGCCCCGCCGCTCAGCGCTGCCGCTGGCCAGGCCGACGGTCCGCGGCCGCCCTGCCGCTTGCCGGGTCCCGGCCTGCAGGGAAGAAAGGTATACCCCTTAAAAGGGTTTCGATCGAATATGAAGAGGGCGGTTATCGAGGGTTTGGGACATACGCGTTGTTGGACACTCGAGCAGATAGGGCGAACAGTCTTAAGATGATGATTGTTGTTGTTGCTGTTGTTGTTGTCGTTCTTTTTGTTATTGTTGTTGCTGTTGCCGTTGTTGTTGCTGCTGCTGCTGCTGTTCTTCTTGTTGTTGTTGTTGTTGGCTTTTGTTGTTGTTGTTGTTGTTGTTGTTGTTGTTGTTGTTGTTGTTGAACATTATTAATTCTAAAGAATAATTATTGTTGGGACCCCTGGTGCACGGCCCCCCTGCGCCGCCTAGGCCGCAGCTACATTTTCATCATTTTCGTGAGGAAGCCTCAGGTAATTCGATGTGATCAAGATCCGGTTGTTTTGTTCCCCCCCGCTTTCCCTTGCAAAAAACACTATAAAATGACATTTCTTGTTCTAATATAATCAAATTTCAAGAATCCCTTGCAAAAAATAAGGTAAAGTGGACATTCGCGCGCGCAAGACGAAATCCTTCCAAAAGCTTAGTGTTCGGAGCGATTTTAACATAAAAACATCAAAAAACCAATGGTTTTTCAACAAAAAAATGTCAAAATCTCATCCCGCGCGCTCTTGCGGATTCGTAGGAAACCCAACACTTTTTAAACATTTCTGTCAAACGGGCTTTTGCGAGCAACTTTTTCGAACTTCTGCGACAACGGTTGCGCACCTGCCAGGGCCATCATCCCTGTCAAATAATACCATGCGGGACACATTCGTTTTTTCTTCGCGCGCGCACGCCGAAATCTCCAAAAACCATTGGGTTTTTAAGAATTTTAGCACCGCGCATCATAAAATCACACGAATCGCACCGTAGGTCCTCGAAAAACACCTGCACGACTTTTCAAAATTTCCACCCGCGCGCGCTGTCCGAATCCTAAAAAAACCAATGGTTTTCCAACATTTATGTTACATGAGCTCGCGCGAGCTACTTTCGCACGCTCTTCGCGCGCCCCGAATAAGTGACCAAGTTCTGTGGGTGTGTACCCCACGCCAGTGTAGTAGCCACGGTCGTCCGCACGCCACGAAGTGAAGTGTCCCAACGTCATAGGGCGGGAAGCTGGGTTTGGGTGGTCGCGAAGAGTCGTTTGGATATTTGGTAGAGCTTGTAATGCCCCCCCACGAAGTGGGGGTATTGCCTGGTGTCGTATGAAAACCCTGGCACTGGGGAGAACACCACGCGTTCGGGTAAAATGATTGTTGTTGTTGTTGTTGTTGTTGTTGTTGTTGTTGTTGTTGTTATAGTTGTTGCTTTCTCTCTCTCTCTCTCTCTTTCCTCTCTCTCTCACTCTTTCTCGCTCTCTCTCTCTCTCTTTCTCTCCTTTTTTTTTTTTTTTTTTTTTTTTTTTTTTTTTTTTTTTTTTTTTTTTTTTTTTTTTTTTCTCTCTCTCTCTCTCTCTCTCTCTCTCCCTTCTTTCTGCCATCTCTCTCTCTCTCTCTGCTCTGCCTCTCCCTTCTCTTCTCCCTTCTCTTTATCCCAGCCCTCCTGCGTTGGGTTCTCGTGTTCAATATTGCACAGCGGTCGCGCGCCTTCTCCCGCCTCCCGCCTCCCCTCTCCTCTCCTCTCCTGCCTGCCTGCTACCCTGCCTCCTACCTCACCTTGCCATCCTGCCCATGGGGCCCCCTGAGGGGCTGTGATCTGCGAAACGGTTGCCACTATTGAGGGCTGCTGGGAGGTCCAGCGGAGTGACGTTTCACGCGAACCTGAATTGGACCTCGCCATCCCTGGGGGGCTGCCATCTGCGGCATTGTCATCACTTTCGAGGGCTGCTGGGAGGTCCAGCGGAGTGACGTCCAACGCGGACCTACACTAGACCCTCGCCATCCCTGGAGGGGTGCTATCTGCGACGCTGTCGCCACTTTCGATGGCTGCTGGGGGTGTCCAGCGGGGTGACGTCCCCCGCTGACCTGTGTTAGGCGTCGCAAGCCCTGGGGGGCTGCGATCTGCAACATTGTCGCCGCTTTCGAGGGCTGCTGGGGGTGGGGTCCAGCAGGGCGCCGTCCCACGCGGACTTACATCAGAACTCGCCATCCCTGGGGGGGGCTGCGATCTGCGACACT